GTCTCTGCATGCCTGTCTCTGCTGTCTCTCTTTTTCTCTGTGTCTCTGTGTGTCTCTGTCTGTCCCTGTGTGTCCATCTTTCCCTGCTTCCTTCTGTCCCTCTCCCTCTCCTCCTCCTCTGTATCTCTGTCTCTCTCTCTTTTCCTGTGTCTCTGCATCTCGGTCTCTGCTGTCTCTCTCTTTTTCTCTCTATATGTGTCTCCCCTGTCTCCCTTTGTCTCTGTGTCTCTGCATGTCTGTCTCTACTGTCTGTCTGTCTCTTTTTCTCTGTGTCTCTGTTTGTCTGTCTTCACTGTCTCTCTTTTTCTCTGTCTCTGTGTGTCTCTGCATCTCTGTCTCTGCTGTCTCTCTCTCTCTCTATATGTGTCTCCCCTGTCTCCCTTTGTCTCTGTGTCTCTGTATGTCTGTCTCCAATGTCTCTCTTTTTCTCTGTCTCTGTGTCTCTGCATCTCTGTCTCTGCTGTCTCTCTTTTTCTCTGTGTCTCTGTGTGTCCCTGTCTGTCCCTGTGTGTCCATCTTTCTCTGCTTCCTTCTGTCCCTCTCCCTCTCCTCCTCCTCTGTATCTCTCTGTCTCTCTCTCTTTTCCTGTGTCTCTGCATCTCGGTCTCTGCTGTCTCTCTCTTTTTCTCTCTATATGTGTCTCCCCTGTCTCCCTTTGTCTCTGTGTCTCTGCATGTCTGTCTCCACTGTCTGTCTGTCTCTTTTTCTCTGTGTCTCTGTTTGTCTGTCTTCACTGTCTCTCTTTTTGTCTGTCTCTGTGTGTCTCTGCATCTCTGTCTCTGCTGTCTCTCTCTTTCTCTCTCTATATGTGTCTCCCCTGTCTCCCTTTGTCTCTGTGTCTCTGTATGTCTGTCTCCAATGTCTCTCTTTTTCTCTGTCTCTGTGTCTCTGCATCTCTGTCTCTGCTGTCTCTCTTTTTCTCTGTGTCTCTGTGTGTCCCTGTCTGTCCCTGTGTGTCCATCTTTCTCTGCTTCCTTCTGTCCGTCTCCCTCTCCTCCTCCTCTGTATCTCTCTGTCTCTCTCTCTTTTCCTGTGTCTCTGTATCTCTGTCTCTCTCTCTTTTCCTGTGTCTCTGTATCTCTGTCCCTGTCTCTCTTTCTCTCCGTCTCTTTGTCTCTCGGTCTCTGTTTCCCTGTAGTTGAATTTAAAGTCACAGTTAGAATTTAGTTTAAGCTTCTGGTAAGAGATGGGAGAGCGCTTTTGGGGGGCAGGGGCGAGTGGGGCCCCCCACTTAGCCTGTCCCCGAGACAGAGTCCGGTTTTTACAGAAGAACCACCTCCGTTTCTTACCCAGAAACTCTCAGCAAACACAATGTCTTTGGCATAGAAGAAAACGGTTCCCGCGTTGGACACGAATTATTTCAAAGCCGACCGTCCGCCGTGGGACTTAAAAGTCGGGGTCCCGAGGAAAGAGGGGGTTTGCTTTTCCTCTGAGGACGTTCTTAGATGTCTGAAGAGCCGCAGCTCCTTTGTGGCAGCATCCCTGGCGTCCTTCCCGGAGGGAGACCCCGGCACGGTGGAGTTTCCTTGGTGGCAGTGTGTCTGGGCTGCAGGCCGTCCCCTGCTGAGGGACCTCGGGCCTGGGAAGGCCAGGGCCCCACTGCACCCCTGGGAAAGTCCGGTCCTGGGAGTCGCAGGAGGCCCCTGAGCTGGGAGGAGGGAGGGTTTTTGGGAGGCAGCCAGAGGGCAGCTGTGAGGGGCTCCCTGTGCCATCCCTGGGGACCCAGCTTCACAGCAGGTGGACACGCGGGGACACCTTCGGGAGCAGAAAAGTTATCTGGGCTCGGGGGACCCCGGAAGGCGGCTGTAGCGCAGAGACTGTTCTCTGGATCTCTCTGTCTCTCTCTCTGCTGTCTCTGCATCTCCGTGTCTCTGCCTGTCTCTCGCTCCTTCTGTCTCTGTGTCTCTGTCTCTGCATCTCCGTGTCTCTCCCTGTCTCTCTCCATCTGTCTCTGTGTCTCTGTCTCTGCATCTCCGTGTCTCTCCCTCTCTCTCGCTCCTTCTGTCTCTGTGTCTCTGTCTCTGCATCTCCGTGTCTCTCCCTGTCTCTCTCCATCTGTCTCTGTGTCTCTGTCTCTGCTGTGTGTCTTTCTCTGCGTCTCCCTGTCTCTGTTTCTCTCCTTCTGTCTCTGTCTCTGTCTCTGTCTCAGCATATCCATGTCTCTCTCACTGTCTCTCTTTCTCTCCTGTCACTGTGTCTCTGTCTCTGCTGTCTCTGTGTCTCTCCCTGTCTCTCTCCATCTGTCTCTGTGTCTCTGTCTCTGCTGTGTGTCTTTCTCTGTGTCTCCCTGTCTCTGTTTCTCTCCTTCTGCCTCTGTCTCTGTCTCAGCATATCCATGTCTCTCTGACTGTCTCTGTGTCTCCTTCTGTCTCTGTGTCTCTGTCTCTGCATCTCTGTGTCTCTCCCTGTCTCTCTTTCTCTCCTTCACTCTCTGTGTCTCTGTGTCTGCTGTCTCTGTGTTTCTCTGTATCTCCATGTCTCTTTCTGTCTCTGTTTCTCTCCTTCTGTCTCTGTGTCTCTGTCTCTGCATCTCTGTGTCTCTCCCTGTCTCTCTTTCTCTCCTTCACTCTCTGTGTCTCTGTCTCTGCTGTCTCTGTCTGTGTATCTCCATGTCTCTGTTTCTCTTTCTCTCCTTCACTCTCTGTGTCTCTGTCTCTGCATCTCTGTGTCTCTCCCTGTCTCTCTTTCTCTCCTTCTCTGTCTCTGTGTCTCTGTCTCTGCTGTCTCTGTCTCTCTCTGTATGTCCATGTCTCTTTCTCTCCTTCTGTCTCTGTGTCTCTGTCTCTGCATCTCTGTGTCTCTCCCTGTCTCTCTTTCTCTCCTTCTCTGTCTCTGTGTCTCTGTCTCTGTGTCTCTGTCTCTGTGTCTCTGTCTCTGTGTCTCTGTCTCTCTCTGTATCTCCATGTCTCTCCCTGTGTCTCTTTCTCTCCTTGTGTCTCTGTGTCTCTGTCTCTGTGTCTCTGTCTCTGCATCTCTGTGTCTCTCCCTGTCTCTCTTTCTCTCCTTCACTCTCTGTGTCTCTGTCTCTGCTGTCTCTGTCTGTCTCTGACTTACACACGGCCCCAAACACACTTTCAGTCACGTCCCCCCCCCCACCCACCGCCTTCCCGCAGTGGAGGACGCGCCCTGGGGTGCTGGGAGGACGAGGAGGAGCAGGGAGACTCCCGCCTGCCCCCCGTCAGCATCCCGCCACCCGCCCCCCGGGCCCCCGCACACCCTCCTGGCCTCTGCTCCAGGACGAAGACCCGCGAGGCGACTCTGCATAATACATGTGACTATTTGTCATTCTCTGTGATACTGTGATATGTGGCGGCCCCGGCTTTGATGGGACGTCCCTGTGACACGGACCTGTTTGTCACGGAGTTGGGGGGAGTTGGGGGGGGTTCCTTTGCCTTTGCTTTTCAAGTCTACCCCGGACCTGGCCTTCTCCAGATCACGGGGATCCGCAGGCCGGGCCCGGCCGGTGCCCATTTGGGGTGGGCAAGAGGTGCCGGCTGCCAGGCCCGGATTCCCCGGAGGAGGAAGGGGGAGGGAAGGGACAGGCAGAAACAGGGAGGCAGATGGAAGGGGAGTGACGTGGGGGGGCGCAGAGGGAAGGGGGAAGACGGAGGGGGAGAAGGAGGGGGGGAAAGGCAGAGGCTGAGGAAGGGATGGAGGGAGAGAGAAAGGGAGGAAGAGAGGAAGGAAAGAGGGACGTGGAGGGGGAGGGAGATGGAGGGGACAGGGAGGGAAAGGAGGGAGGAAGAGGGACAGGGAGGAGGGGGAGGAAAAGGAGGAGGGAGGATGTGAGGAGGAGGGAGAGAAGGGGGGCAGGGGTCTGGGGGGACAGAGAGAAACAGGGAGGGAAGGAAGAGGGGAGGAATAGAGGGTTGGGGGGAAGCCTCTGGAATAAAGGGAGGCACAGAGAGGGAGGAAGGAAGGAAGGAAGGACATGGAGGGGGAAAAAGATGGAAGGGACAGGGACGGAAAGGAGGGAGGAAGAGGGAAAGGGAGGAGGACGGGAGGCAGAGGAGGAAGGAGGATGTGGGGAGGAGGGAGAGAGGGGCAGGGGTCTGGGGGGGGACAGAGGGAAACAGGTAGGGGGACGGGGGGCAGAGGAGGAGGGAGGACGTGGGGAGGAGGGAGAGAGGGGCAGGGGTCTGGGGGGGACAGAGGGAAACAGGGAGGGAAGGAATAGAGGGTTGGGGGGAAGCCTGTGGAATAAAGGGAGGGACAGAGAGGGAGGAAGGAAGGAAAGAAGGACATGGAGGGGGAGAAAGATGGAAGGGACAGGGAGGGAAAGGAGGGAGGAAGACGGATAGGGAGGAGGACGGGAGGCAGAGGAGGAGGGAGGACATGGGGAGGAGGGAGAGAGGGGCAGGGGTCTGGGGGGGACAGAGGGAAACAGGGAGGGAAGGAAGAGGGAGGGAATAGATGGTTGGGGGGGGAAGCCTGTGGAATAAAGGGAGGAAGACAGAGAGGGAGGAAGGAAGGAATGAATGAAGAAATGAAGGAAAGAAGGAATGAGGGAGGGAGGGAGAAAAGAAACAGGAGAAGACGGAGGGAGGGATGGATATGGAGGAAGGAAGGGGGGGAACAAGGACGGTTATTTCTCCAGCTCCTCAGCTCCTCCTCCTCCCCTCAGCGCGCGCCCCCCCCAGTTTACGGGGCACCCTCACCTGAACCTGACCGGCGCTGCTGGGGACCCCTTCCCTGCGCCCTGGGGTCGGGGAAATACGGCCTCCATTCTTTCCGCTGCAGGAGACCAGGGCCCCGGCTCCCGGGCGCCAACGCTGCGCGCCTCGAACGGGGTGTCTCCCCGAAACCCGCAAAAGAGCTTCTCGCCCCAGCCCCCCAAAAAAGTCTCACGTTCCCCGGGACCCTCCCCAGCTGCAAACGCGAAGGGCGAGTGGGGAAGATGAGGGCATTTTACAGGGTGGGGGGGAAACGAAGAAGAAGAAGAAAAGAAATGAGGGAAAAAGAGAGAGAAAAAAAATCTCAACTTTATTTGCTTTCCAGGACTTGGAAAAGGAATTTCAGCTCGCGGAGGCGAACCCCGGCTTCCACTGCAGGGTCACCCCGCCAGGAAAGCCGAAAACACCAAGTATATATATATAAAATGTGCTCCCCAATAAATATCCTACACGCCGGGGTGTCAGCGCGGCGCTAAGTGGGGGGCGGCGGCCTCGATCCGGGGTCTGCCGGGGTCTGGTAGAAACGACCCGGTCTGCACGAAACTCTCCTCCCGGGGATCCGAGCTCCTTTCTGCGGGCGCTGCAGACCCGGGAGGCGGCCGCGCGGATCCTCAGCGCTCGGGTCCAGCTTTGGGGACACCGGGCCCGTTCCTTCTTCTCACTTGGAGTTGGGGTCCTTCGGGCGCTTTCCATGTCACCCGCGCTCCCCGTGTTGCGACGGGGCCTCCGCCGGGGTCTCCATCCCTCCATGGAAACGCGCGCAGCAGCCTCCAACTTCCCAAATCCGGGGTCCCTGCGCGCCCCGGTCCCCTCTCCCTCTCCGCCTTTGGAAAGGTGGGTGGGTGGGGGGCGGTTCTTGGAAAGGTCCAGGCGCCGGGCTCTGCGCTCCTCCCCTGGAATAGACGGTGGGGTCGGGGGGGGGAGGGCGCGGAACGGTTGGGACCTTCGTCTCTCCAGCCCCTGGAAGTCCTGATCCACTTTGCTTTTGCGCCGCAGCCACGGAGGAAAGAGAAACGCGGGGACCTGTCTTGGGGGGCTCTGTCGGTGCGCGCACTCTCCCTGCACACCCCCCCACCCCCCCAAAAAAAAAACCACGCAACAAAACCGGGATCTTTACCTCTTTGCACCTCTTTGAGCGGACGCCAAACGGTGATGAAATGACAAGAATCCCAATTGCCGGCCTTGGGGAGGGTGGGGGAGACACCGCGGTCCCTGCGTGCGTCCGCCTCGGAGCCGAGACACCCGTAATTGCTCCAGACAGGCGGCGCGCGGGGGGCTGGGCGAGGTCGGCGCGTATAAATAGCGAGATTTCCAATGGAAAGGCGTAAATAACAGGTCTGGAGATCCACCCGCGCGCGCACGGGCCGCCTTCGTCCCTCCTCCGCGCGGGGACACGCGCGCACCCACCGGCCCCCGCGTCTCCAAAGCTTCCCGGAGTCCTCCCCGCGCAGATTCCTCCCGGCCGGCCTCAGCCATGGAAGAGCTCACGGCTTTTGTATCCAAATCTTTCGACCAGAAGAGCAAGGACGGGAACGCGGGAGGCGGAGGAGGCGGCGGCGGCTGCGGCGGGAAGAAGGATTCCATCACCTACCGCGAAGTTTTGGAGAGCGGACTGGCGCGCTCGCGGGAGCTGGGGACGTCGGATTCCAGCCTCCAGGACCTCACGGAGGGCACCGGCCACTGCCCCGTGCATTTGTTCAAGGACCACGTAGACAACGAGAAGGAGAAGCTCAAGGAATTTGGCACCGCGCGCGTGGGGGAAGGTAAGCTCCTCCGCGCGCCCCGAGGCTTTCCCCGGGGGTCCCCTTCCCGGGGTTCGGAACCGCCTCGCCCCACGGAGTCGGCCGGCGGGCGCCTCGCTCCCCACATTTACAGCTCCCCGGGTCGGAGGACAAGGCCCCGAGGCCAGGATTTTCCTAAGAAAGAAACGAAGGCAGGACTGGAGCCCGTTGGAGGAGCTGGGAGGTGTCCACGGTGGGAGTCCCGGGTGCAAGGAGGGTGGGAGCTGGGGCCGCGCGCGCTGCCCGCCGCAGACTCGAACCCCCTCGCACCCTGGGCGCAGACACGGGGCTGGGGTGGATCCTGGCGGCCGTGGGGCCTGCTGTGAACACACATATATACGGATTTTGGAGGCACAGTCTCTGCCTGTGGCCCAGGCTGGAGCGCAGTGGCGCGATCTCGGCTCACCGCAACCTCCGCCTCCCGGGTTCAAGCGATTCTCCTGCCTCAGCCTCCGGAGTAGCTGGGATCCTCAGGCACCCACCACCACGCCCGGCTAGTTTTTCTGTGTTTTTAGTAGAGACCGGGTTTCAACACGTTGGCCAGGCTGGCCTCGAACTCCTGACCTCAAGTGCTCAGCCCGCCTCGGCCTCGCAAAGTGTTAGGGTTCCAGGGTTGAGCCGCTCCGAGCGCAGCCGAGGGCCTGGCGTCTATAAGGCTGTGGGTTTCTGTCTCAGTGTCCCTGTGTCTGTGGCCTGCATCTAACGTCACCCACGCGGAAAGAGGACGTCTGTGCCCACCCGGGACAGCGGGTTACACTCCAGGCTGCGTGGGGGAAACAGGCGGAAAGGCCCCCATGTATCTGCCTCCTTCCCTTTCCTTTAAGGAACAATTTCTTCTTCTTATTATTATGATTTTTTTTTTTTTTTTTTTTTTTTTTCTCTTTGATCCTGGAGGCTGGATCTCGGTGAAAGCTGTTGTGTAAATTAAAACCAGTCTGGTGCCCGCAGGTGGCCGGGATCTGGATGGGGCTTGAGGGCGCCCCCGGGAAGCTGGTGGATTCGAGGCCCCGTCCTACTCCAGGCTGTCAGCGCGCAGCCGGGTTTCAGGCAGCCCGGCGGACCCTGGGGGGGACTGGGGGGGGCGGGGGGAGGGTTCCCCTCCAGCTGTTGTTCCAGAAACCTCCGTGGGAGATGTCCCCGTGGTGGAAACCGGGCTGGGACAGGCCGTGTCTATACCCCGACATGTCCCCTCCACAAACACACCCAACCGGTCTCTCTAAAGCTCAAGAACGAAACGAGCGCAAAGTGTCAGGGTCACAACTGCAGAGGACCATTGAGAGCTATTATTTTTCATTACAAAGAGAGAGAGAGAGAGAGAGAGAGAGAATCTAATCTCCGCTGATGGATTCCCAGAGGTGGGAGGTTGGAGGGGAGGGTGAATTTCCCCCCCCGAAGGTAATTTCTCCGAAGACTCTGGGGCGACCTGCTCTGCTGGGGCCTACATTTCGGGTGCGGGTGGGAGAGTTTTGGGGGGGGGTGTTCGGTGGCCTCGCCGGGGTCCGGGGTGACCAGACAGGGTCCCCAGGCCTTGAGCTTGTGAACGCAGAACCCTGGTTATGAATTATCAATCAGTCGTCGGTGGCCGGGAGGCCACGCGGGCAGGTCGTGCCGCGCGCACCCAGCCCTGGTGAGTCATACAAAGGCTGAGCTTCAGAGTTTTAGGGCCTGAGATCCGTGTCAGACGTTTCCCTGGGTCCGACGGCCCGTTCTCTGCGATTCCTTTTTTTTTCTTTTCTTTTCTTTTTGAGACGGAGTTTCGCTCTTGTTACCCAGGCTGGAGTGCAATGGCGCAATCTCGGCTCACCGCAACCTCCCCCTCCTGGGTTCAGGCAATTCTCCTGCCTCAGTCTCCCCAGTAGCTGGGATAACAGCCACGCGCCACCGTGCCCAGCTGATTTTTTTTTTTTTGTATTTTTAGTAGAGACGGGGTTTCACCGTGTTGACCGGGATGGTCTCGATCCCTTGACCTCGTGATCCACCCGCCTCGGCCTCCCAAAGTGCTGGGATGACGGGCGTGAGCCAATTTCCTCCTCTGGCCTCTGTCTTCCTCCCCACATGGCACCACAGCGAAGTGTCCTCCAGGCCTTTTGAAAGCGGAAAATAAGAATTGAGGGACCCAGGAGAGGACAGGCAGTGAGTGCCCCCACTTCCCCTTTGCCCTTGACTGGGCAGGGACAAGACCCCACCAGCTCTGTGTCCCGTGCTGGAGGTAAATGGAGGTTGGAGAGTCGGGGGAGCAATCCCGGGCACCCACCCGTGGAATCCCGTGGCTTTTGCAAAGCCCGCAGGACGGTGCTTGGAGCCTCCGAAGCCCAGTTTCCCAGCTGGCCTCCATCACTGGGGTTCATAAGAGAAATGAAGGAGGAAGCTCCAGGGCCAGCTCCAGGGAAAAGGATTCCGGGTGGGGAAAGGAACGCCGTGTTCTTGGAAGCACGTGCGTCTTACGAGGCCAAAGGGAATCTGAAGTCCACGCTGGAAACAGGGGCCGGCGCTGAATTCCAGCTCGCGGGAGGCCCTGGGGTGGGTGGTGGAAGGAAGACGCAGAACGCGGCGCCGGCCTTCACCAGGTTCCCCTTGACGCACGTGGGATTTGTGAGGTTTGCAAGTTTGTGGGTGACCCGGGGGGCCTCTGAGACTGTTTCGAGGCTCAACTTGCAAATGGCAACGTGTTAACCCTTGACACCAGCCTGGGCCACGCGGGGCTCTTCCTCTGCGCCCAGCAGGCCCGGAGATGGGAACAGACGGGCGCTGGAGGAGCCGCTTTCACCAGCGCTGGGTCGATGAAGGGCATGGCGAGGCTCTGAATGTCTAATATTAGGAAGAAAACGCTTTTTGGCTGGAAACGCCCGACAGCGGACTTTTCATGCCCTTCCCTGTCCCGCAGCAAATAAAAGCAGGTCACCTTTTTTTTGGAGGGGACGCAGGGCCATTTCTGGCATCCTGGTGGGGTGGGTGCGCGACCGACAGCACGTACCTGGGAAAGAGGGATTTCTTCCAACGGGGTTCGAGTCCCAGGTCGCGGCGGTGCGGTCCCCATGGGCGGTGGGGTTCAGCTGTTCTGGTGACAAACAGTTTCCGTGAGGACGGGGCTTTCCTAGCTCGGCCAGACCCCGGAGGGACCCCCGCACCCCCACGCCCAGCTGCGCTGCAAACGGGGATAGCGTCTGTAGAATCCGCAACCTGCCCGTCCCGTTCCCGGGCGTCCCGCCGGGGACCCCACAGTCGTCAACTCTTCCTAAATAATAATAATAATAATAATAATTTTCTTTAAAAGTAGGATTTGACACCCCAGTCTCCTTTAAAATAATAATAATTAAAAAAAAGGTTAGGTTATGTCAACAGACTAGAAGTGGATAATTGAGGAAACGATTTGGAGGAGAGGAGGCCAAGGAAACAAGGTTCTTATCCAAAAAAGCGCCTTTTGCCGCGTGGGGGATACGCGGGCCCTGCGTAAAGGCGCATCGGGTTTTCGGGGTACCCCGTGTCCACCGCGGGACACGCGTGGCGCGGAAATAACACCCACCCAGTGATGCGCGCTCGGTGCCAGGTGGTCTGCGCCCTGGAGCTTGGGGGGGGCGGTGGGCGCGCGCGCTCGCGCTGGCGGAGGGGACCCCCGGGAGGGTTTGGAGAGGCGCCCCCCGGCCTGAGCCCCGCGCCCCCCGGCCGCCACGCAGGGATTTACGAATGCAAAGACAAACGCGACGACGTGAAGTCGGAGGACGAGGACGGGCAGGCCAAGCTGAAGCAGAGGCGCAGCCGCACCAACTTCACCCTGGAGCAGCTCAACGAGCTGGAGCGGCTGTTCGACGAGACGCACTATCCGGACGCCTTCATGCGCGAGGAGCTGAGCCAGCGCCTGGGGCTCTCGGAGGCGCGCGTGCAGGTAGGAACCCCGGGGTTGGGGGGGTACCCGCGGGGCGCACCGGCTGCTCCAACTGCGCCCTGGTCACCGCCGGGGGCCCTGCCCGGAGCGCGCGGAGCTGGGGCGCGCGGGGCGCGCGGGGTGCGCGGGGTGCACGGCCTTGGGGAGACGCCTGTGGCCTTTGGGGTGCCGTATCCCCGGGGTTTGTCTGCGCGAAGCTCCAACTGCGCCCTGGTCACCGCCGGGGGCCCTGCCCGGAGCGCGCGGAGCTGGGGAGCGCGTGGCGCGCGGGGTGCGCGGCCTTGGGGAGACGCCTGCGGGCTTTGGGGTGCCGTATCCCCGGGGTTTGTCTGCGCGAAGCTCCAACTGCGCCCTGGTCACCGCCGGGGGCCCTGCCCGGAGCGCGCGGAGCTGGGGAGCGCGTGGCGCGCGGGGTGCGCGGCCTTGGGGAGACGCCTGCGGCCTTTGGGGTGCCGTATCCCCGGGGTTTGTCTGCGCGAAGCTCCAACTGCGCCCTGGTCACCGCCGGGGGCCCTGCCCGGAGCGCGCGGAGCTGGGGCGCGCGGCCTTGGGGAGACGCCTGCGGCCTTTGGGGTGCCGTATCCCCGGGGTTTGTCTGCGCGAAGCTCCAACAAATACACGCACACGCACATATATGTATGTTATATGTTTCTGTTATGCAGACGCATGTTTGCCTTGAGAGTTGGGTGTGTGTCTCTTGTATGTTTGCATATGTGTATATACATATATTTGTTTGCTTTTAGCTGTATGTGTATATATACAAACGCATACACCGTAGTTATATATATATAAACGCGTGTAAAATATATATT